ATTTAGTTTTCATGAAATTCGTTTTTTTAACGAATAGGATTGAACCTCTCTGGTGAGCTTTGCAGATTAGTTCGACAGTCGATTGCAACAGAGTCCAATCTAAATTCAAATCGTCCACGGAGCTTTCGCCATACCTCCGATTAAAGAAGTTTTTCGAATCATGTTTCAGAAAACAAGTACCATTCGTTTCCCTGCAGGAAGCGGAGCAGATGCTGATACAATAGCACATGTAAAAATTCCGATAGTGCCAGGGGAATATAATCCGCATTTTGCTTTTTGTCGATGATTTGTTAACAAAGAATGGCAAGAGCGGAACGCATTGTTTCGAGCGGCTATTGTTGCATGATCATACCCACAGCTATTCCTATGCGCACAGCTCGTTCGCTCTCGCACGTGGTCAAGCTTCGAGAAAGTTGCGCGCCATGCAGCGGCCTCCGTACGTTCGAGCCGCCGGATTTTTCATTCCGTGTTCGAATCCAGCCCAGACCGTTTCGTTGCCCCAGTGTAACCAAGTCATTTCAATCGTTTTCGAGAAATCACGAATTTAAAGACATCGCAGTGCTCGCGTACAAACAGTGGTTTTATCTTTATACAGGACGAATTGAGTTCATATTGGTGTATTACGTCCATCAGGCACGCGCAGATAATCTTCAACTTATAATTTTTACGCATTTTACATTTGAATTCCGTTCCAACTTATTATATTTTTGTGCAATTTCGTAAATCTCGCGTACTACAGTATTTGACAGATGCTCGCGAATCACCAGCAGTGAAACCCTTCTTAGGAAATACTGTGTTGATGTACTGTATACAGCAGTTACGATTTAGAAGCGGATGTCAAACCTGTGCGCGTTTCTCGCGGAAATAACGTCGAATGAGCAGTTAAAATTATTTTATTCATTTTTCTCCTCTAAATATGTTCCAGTGTTCATCTTTTGGGTGTACCTCTTAGCCAAATACTGGATCATTCTCAGCTTCTTGCTGCATATCTATGCGTATGCTAGCCGTGACTTAGTAAACAACATAGCCATTATTCACCAGCATGACTTACGAATTATTCAATCTAAGATGCTGCAATTATCGAAGAATCGCTCTCTCAGCTGATTTGAACTCTGTTATGGACAGCAGTTGATGCTTAAAACCTGACGCATTTACAATAAGCTTCATCAACTTTTTATATATACCAATGGAACAATCATTGCAACGAGTAGTACAGTACAGTACAGTACTATCAGAACTCTTCCGATGAAACAGTAAGGGTATATTCGAACCTGTTGCAGGGAATAGTTCATGCTATGCGTTAAAAATTGGAAGAAGAAAATCTGTAAATCAGGGTTCCTGTACGATTACTTTCTTATTTTCAAATCGCTTAAATACTGACTTGAGAAAGGATTGGTTAATCGTTCACAGGAACAAATTGATTTTTTGAACAATGAACTACTGATGTAAATTTAATATTTTATCTTATACTGTAAATCAAATTAGATTCCATGGGCAAGATGAATCAAATTTAAGGACATGGTTGTTGTCAGAGATTATTTTGGGAATCAGTGCACGGCGCTGAAGATACCTTTACTGCTCTCCCATTTCTCATGTGCTAGTCACTAGTGCGGACGAGAGGCCAATTTGTTCTTATGCTCGCGTCTTCTGGCCGCTAAACATTTGCGGTTTTCCGGATAATGGCAAAATGTTCAGTTTCATTTCACATGATCTTCCTTTGTCGAAAATTTTATCATATGCTCAGAATTGCTCGAAGCATCCGAATTTATTCTGTGAGTTTGGTAACGCTAGAACTGTGCCTCATACAATTCTGGGCTCGGCTTCCCTCCGCATGAAGTCCGTTGAGCAAATGCAAATCACTCCATTCGTCCGAACGATTTTATCGTAAGTGGAACATGGGTCCATACCAGTACGGTGGTACACATACTCGATATTATTTTTGGTGACCATTACTTGGAAGCAGCGAGTAGAGGAACAAGAATTTTTTTCAAGTCGGGTTAACTTGTTGCGCGAGGTTTGGTCATATTTTTTAATCCTAAGCGAATCAACGAGACTGCTCTTTCAAATTGAAGGCTTCTCATCTAAACCGTCTCTTCATTCTGATGATCAATCCGTGAGGACCTAGAATACATAGCTATACCAACGGTTTTTTACGAAGTCTAAATCGATTTCTTTAAAAACATGAAATTTATGCATCAGTACAAGCCGATTTGCGCGCTGTATGGAAAGAAAAGGGATAAAAATTGCTTTAATGCAAGCCTGGCTATTTTGGCAAACGTCCAAAGTTCAGCAAGGTACGAAAATAAAGTTTTCCGCGTTGTGTTGGCGAGCTCAGGTGGTGATTTCCGTTTTTTTCCTGATCTTTCAGAACCAAGATTTTTGAACTTGTTGATTTCATCATGATTTGAAATTCATAAACTTGGAATTTCTAATAAATTCTGCGATTGTCGGTTTGCACCATTATTTTCATCGAAGGATTCCATAAAACGCTGCGTTCGTTGCTGAGAATCGTAAATTTTGAAGCTGTTGTGCACAACAAAGGATATAACGCACTTGACGCGCAGGTATGATATAAAGCTCAAGGTCGGTCAATGGAAGCTTCGTTTCCCAATAAGGAACGGCCGTTAAAACGTGTTTAAATTCTAATGCTGACATCGTGAGTGAGCCTAAATTATCCGAATTAGCTCTGGACTTGAGAAGAGATATTTTTTATTCCAAGAGAAACAGAACAATTGTGAGTTATTTTTACCTCTTGGCAATGTGAGATCAACGTAGTATCCGTGGGCTTCGCGTCGCGGGCGGAATATACAATGCAAAGCAAGGCGTCGGTCGAAATTCTGGAAAACTTTTGTATAAGCAGTGGCTCTCGTTTACGCTTAAATTAAGTCTGAAGTTTACCAAGAGCTTGAAAAAAGTGCTGCATCTCGGTCTACATTAATTTAAGATGCAACAGGGTAGTCGTTGGGAAATTGGATCAATCTTTGACGGAGGTCTTTCCTGGAACAGAAATACAGTATACAGTATCATGCCCACACGTGCTACTGCGTGTAGAAGTAAATTGTAATTTATGTGTAACAGTAGGCTGCAAGATGCAGACTCAAGTACAGTACAGTATTTTGTCCATATTGGGACCGCTGCTTGTGAGGTTACATTTTCCCATCGATTCCAATGATGAAAATTGTTATCTCTTCTGGTGTGTTGAAAAAAATCGGGGAAAAATCCTATAAATTCAGTGACAATTTTAAAAATATTTCCGCAAATCTAACATTTTTGGGATTCATGGCATAGAACTGAATTAAAATTGAAAATTTTCATTGAAAGGGAAAATTTTGAGCCTCTTGGAAATACTCTTGCCGTAGACAAAGACACTAAGTTTCCACGAGTCTTCGAATTAATGGAATGAAAATCTGTCGTAATGAGAGATTTAAAAACTCCTATGTAGTACTGTGGCCCGCGAGGACTCTCTATCGCCTCTGCGATGTGACCCTTGATGGCCACAAAAAGTGCGTCGATGTGGCCCAATTGGCCTCATGTAAACGGGGCAGCACTGGTCTAAAATATGAATTGTCCGCATGTCGGGGCGGTCATATGCTGGGGCATTACCATAGCTTTCTTAAAATGCTTCAATTTTGACATTAGATCCCCGTGTCCATAGAAATAATCGGAACAGGAGCGTATAAGTTTACTCTTGATTCTTAACTCTTTCTCTTGATTCTGTCAATCGGCTGAATTATAAAATAGCAGTTCTTGTCTTGCCATCAGCAGTATTTGCCAAATTTTCTCTGAAGGGTATCATCCATACGCCAAAGCAATTTTTCACGAGGATTTCCTTTTTCAGTCAGTTCTCCTTATCGTCATTTCAAAGGAAACAATTTTGACGGAGAAAATCACTACAACATGCATTCAAAAAGACGGGAACTCTTTTAGCACGTTTTCCGTAATAAAAAATCGCTAAATGCGGAAGATGAACTAATGGACGGTAATCAAATTGCGATGATATAGTCAGGTTTTTCGATACAAGTAACATATGTTAATTCTAGTGGTGCTCAGGCCATGAAAATGTGCGGGATTGAAGTTAAAATTGAATGAGTTCCAATACGTTAAAGAGCGGTTCACACGATGCAGTATCTCAAGTTACAGAATCGTTTCACGTTTTCCTGTTCCAGTACCCAGTCCCAGTAAATTTCCTTCTTGGCGGTCGAGCAACGTTACATTTTAAACGTCTGCCCGGTCCTGTCTTTCTCGTTTGGCCAGCCGTGTACCTGAGGTCACAGATTTCATTTCCGCCCTACGACGAGAACATTCTTCCGCTCAGCAGGTTTGCTGGGACGTTGACAAGAAATGCAGGCAAGCCTTGGCTTAGCGTTCCGTGCACGAAGCAGGTACGTACAACTTCGCGAATCCGTTTGCCAAACGCAGCCCGGGATAGCCAAGGCAGTTAGAAACTCAGTTTATATGAGCGCCCTAAATTTGCCGGCAGTCGTGCGCCTGCGGTGAGTGTAGAAGGCGCTCCGGAAACCCGTTGCGCGTTACGCCGTAATGGCAGTCAGTGGAGGGCGGAAAACTCGGCTTGAGAGCCGTCGGTGCCTGGTATTTTTTCCCAGACGGTAGCGGTCCGTGCGTTACGGTCTTTTTTTTTCCTTCCTTTTTTTTTTAGTCCGAGCAATTTTTGCTTCCTTCTGACGAGCGAGCAGAGGCTCGATTGTTCAATATTTTCTCGAGCATTTCAGTCGGCTCGGTAACGGTAACCTTGACGACTCGCCGTGAAATCTGGCTTGGGAAGTAGTGCAGCGATTTCCGCCGCAGATGTCGTTCGGCTGACGAGCGTCGCGGTTGTGCTCGAGAGCCTGCGACACTGCTGGTTGCTTTGCTCGTTCGCGATCCAGTTTTGGTTTTCAGTCCTTTACACTCCGCGATTCAGTGTGTAACGATTTTTCTTTCCATCTAATCTCAACTTTTGGTTCATTATTTTTTCGGGCTTTCTTTCTTCGGCGCCGAGTGCAGTTCGAACCAGCTTATCCCGAAACTCTCTCGTGAAATTAGCTTTCCAGTGAATCTCTCATAGCCTATTTCTTGTAGTTCGTCGGTTAAAGTTTAACCCCGAAATCAAACGAAAATGGATGCCATTAAGAAGAAGATGCAGGCAATGAAGCTGGAGAAGGACAATGCCATGGATCGGGCAGATACCTTGGAGCAGCAATCAAAGGATTCCAACCTCCGTGCTGAGAAGGTGAGCTGTCAAGAAATGCGCAAGTTTCCCCAACACTGCGTTTTCTAAGATTCCTGACAACTTCACGGCTTATTTTACTCTGTATACTACAGCACTTTTTGCGTCCATCATGACTCATCACCGTTCTTCTAAGGCTGCGGTTAATCAGATAGTTCTTAACAAACGTTTTCACTGATTAAGTCGTGCCTGAATTGGAGCGACGCCGACCAATCCAACCAATCTGTGTAATGTAATGATGCGCAGATTAAATCGTTGAGTGTTCGAATCCCGAACGTAATTACTTATTCGTTTCTTCGTCCTTGCACCGCAAGATAGTTCAGATCCATTAAAGTTTCATCTTTTTTATTATGATGAAGATGCTTGATTAAAAAATGTAGGGTTCAATGCAAGATCTGTTCGCGTCTTGTCAGAGTTTCAAATTTTCAATAAAGTAAAAAAAAGCCGTATATGCTTGAGTACGACCATCATGAGACGCACCCCCGGAATCGAAATCATTTCCCTTAGCGTTTATGAAGAATCTCTTATATCGGCTCCATAATGGGCCAGAAACTTTGTTGCCCCGATGAGTTAAACGTTTCGTTTTTATCGATAGTACTGCATTATATTTTCTTGAGCACAACGAATTACGACAACCAGTGAAGCTCACCTTGATTAAAGCAACCTTGCAAGCAATATTATCACCGCAAAGTGACTTTAATGAATGTTCCACTCAGATAATTACCAGATGATTTTTTTAAACTGCACATTGAATGTTTCGTTTTCGTATCAGATTTTTAAAAGTTGATTTTAATTTCCCGAGATACTCAACAAGATAATGACACGACTGAATTAATTGTTTGAGCTGCATACATTTTTGAACTACCACAAAAAGCAACTACTGAGATCATGTTAGAATCATTAGTATATATTACAAATGCTTTTATATTCTTTTCGATTAAATACGATGAGAATGCGTGGTTCATTTAAAGCGGTCTTTAGCCGAGCGATGTGGGCATGATGACGCTGTGGAGTCAGGAATCCTCGAACGCTGTCATGTTTTTCAGGTCAACCACCGTCTTAAAAGTCAGGTCCTTGATGTAAAATCCTTAGTCATCGAGCAGCATTCCCTCTCAGAGAAATTACTGGTCAAGGTCGCGTGGGTCTCTAAGCAATCAGCCAGGCTCGTTTATTGGGATTCTATCCGCTTCAAGATGCAAATGGAGGCTTTTTCAAATCGTGACTCGGCTTAGGTCACGCTTGACCGCAGATTGGGAAATAACTGCTACGGGGTCACGTTGAGTAACGCATCAGCGAGACTTGGGGTAAATTTTCAGGAAGCGAGATAAAGCGGAAGAATGCGGGGTAATTTTTGTTGCCAGCTTCCTGCTTCCGAAGGCATGGTCCAGTGCCAAAGAGCGTCTGGCTCCAAGAAGAATGTTGTTTACTCATCCACTCGCATTTGTTCGTGCGCCAGGTCGGTTTCCTTCCGCGCGTAATTTTCCTTCCGCCCTGCATTTGAAGCAGGAAGCCTGGTTTGCAGAAAAACTCGGGTTTTAATTTTAGCTGCAAGATCGTAGCCACACCGTCGCTCGCGACACTCCTCACGCCATTTGCCCTTCTCGCCATTTCTCTCTCCTTCCGCCGCATTCCATTAACCTTCTCGGATTCTGCTCGCTTCTACCTCGCGAAAACGGAACTTCCGGGAAGCTCGCCGGAATTTTCCGCAGATTAACTGTTTCCGACCCCTCTGTCTGCCTGGTACTCCGTCTCTCTCGTTCCTTCTCGTTTCGTCATGTTGACCACATACTTCGGTGACTCCGATTTTCTTTTCGACCATAAATGCATTTATGTCTTCGGAGTCCACGAATCAAGTTTCCATCTTCTATTTGTTAATTTAAAAGTTAAATCTTCTTAGCGCTAGGTTCGGAATGCGGAGTACTGGCTTGAGAAAATTCCTATCTAAGTGCTTAAAAATTATGTATCTGGAAGGAACTCGGAAACTTACCTTGAATGAACGGCCGTCGTTATCTCAGCCATTTATTTCAAAATACGAACTGCGTCCTTAAATTTTTATTTGCACTAGATGATTCCTCTTTCCGACACCCAGATATCTCTCCCTTTCTCATCTAAATCTTATTTTGCATTCCCGTGCTTTGTTTGTTCATCCATGAATACTTCTCAATCTTCGGCGGTCAAGTCTTCATGTTTTATGTTTTGTTAATTTAGAACGCAATCTTGGCAGCGGTAGGTTTATTGACAGAGACTTGCCTCAAATGGATACAGAGCAGCGTATCCCAGGTTATTGAGAATTTATTGGAATTGGATCAAATCTCTGTACGATTTTTGAATCATAATTTAATATGTAACAACCTTTTGCTTCAGGAAGGCGAGGAGTGCACGTGGGCGTGATGGGAATGGCGATTTTAATATGATCCGGTCGTAAATGATGCATAGTAATTGCGCAAACTCGGAAGTTTTTTTTTTCAACATAGCAGAGGACATTTTATGAGTATCCTTGAGTTGGAAAAATGAGACGAGCCCCGAGGTATAGACTTTTTTCTTTGAAAGAACAGTAGAATGAATCCAGCTTCGGTTGCGCAAGTCTCGTCATCGATCCCGTCCTTCGAGCCTCGTTCTTCGCCGGGTACTTCCATCGAATTTTTCCTTCGCGTTAATGCATTGATAGACAGGATGACGGTGGTTGATCATGCGTGAGTGACGGACTCAAGGGGTGGCATGAGTAGAGAATAATGTCCATGGTTTGTTCGTCCAGGCGGAGGAAGAGGTCCGCGCTCTGCAGAAGAAAATGCAGCAGCTTGAGAACGACTTCGACACTGCTCAGGAGTCTTTGCTGCAGGCCAACAATAAACTCGAAGAAAAGGACAAAGCTCTGCAAAACGTGAGTTATTTTGATTTTTTTTACCGGCGCGACTTTTCATCAGTCAGAGCGCTGATACACACGATGGAAGCCTCGTAAGATATCTTTATACTCATTCGGTTCTTGGCCCGACGGTCTATGCGGAAGAATGCTTCGAAAATTCATTCTTTCGAAATTATCGTCATTTGCATAGTACTGTACATGCATCTGAATGAATAAGAGAGATCAATATGAGCAGGAAGACGCTGCGAATGTGCATCTGTTGGCAGAGCTGTCTAGATTCTAGGAGGTTTCTTGGCAGGTATCACCAAGAGTTTTTCCGCCCTGTTACCTTCACGAGATGAGCTTAGAGTATTAAAGATTTCCTGATTTTTCTAAATTCCAGCTCTTCTGTACGAACAATTCAACTACGACGAGGTTGTAAACACACACCACGGGCTCCAAGGGGGCTCCGAAAAGATGAAAATGAAAGTTACGTCAGATTTAGCATTTAAAAAATTAGGACCAGCAAATGCCGGGGAAGGACTTTCATGCAAGTACAGTACTACCAAAACTGGTCTAAATGCGGCAGTTAAACGACTCTGGAGTCGGAAAATATTTGTACGGGTATTGGGTAACTCTGGAAGAAATTAATTGTGGTAAGGACTTTTCTATGCTCAGGAGGGTTGAGCAACTTCGCATTAGTATGTTCGAATGATCCGATTCCGAAATTGGGTACACTCGTGGTTGTGACATGCAAGTTTCTGGGATGCCAGACTGCCTGTTCTGGATTGAGGAATAAAGTTCGTAGGTCAAGGGAATAATAACTTCGAACTGGATTTTCGGACTCGCTTCTGAATTCCAAATCTGGAGAGGTATAACGTATAAAACGACCGAGACCTCGACTACTGTCTGCCGCGATTTAGCCGCGACGGTCAGTATGAGTCTCACGGACCTTTGCCATGACTCACCCGTGATGCAATCACGCGTTGTCAAGTTTGGCTTTCTTCTTTGTCAGCTTCGTTTTCATTTTCGTGTGCGTGTTGCGAGATGAGGAGCGAATTGAAAACAAAACGCGACGTGATCCTCCGGGCGATTGGGCACTTGCACGATCCCGATGCGTTGCGTCATGTGTCGCGCTAATGTTCTTGTTCCATTCATGTTGCTTCATCTCTCTCTATCGGGTGCTTGAACAAGAAAAAAAATCGAGAAAACCCTGCATTAAAAGTTTGATACATTTCCTCCCGTAACTCCTTCGTCTGAGTTGAGATAGTTTCATTTGCTGTCCATGCATTCGTTACCATCATGGCGCAGATCAGCGTTTCTTAACCGGCTCTCCACAACCATCATTCCGGTATCAACCACAGAACGAAATTAACTAATACGATGCTCGAGATAAGATGTACTCGAAAAGGATTTCCATGGTGAAGAACTGAAATACTGTAACAGCGTTTTTTAAAATAGACATGGACTGCTGCGAAGTGAAAATGAGAATGGCAGGCATCAATAATAAGTTTTAAGACCTGATGCAGAGGCTTTGGCGAACCAATTACAATTTAAATGGAAAGTTTCATTCTAGAAAGGCTCTTCCAGTCACAATTGAAGTCTGCTGACTGTCAACAAGTCAGGAAAGCATTTGAAAATAGATTATTTTCAAGCAAATTCTGCCATGCGTACTTATTTTGCTTCCATGTGAATGCCGGAAATAATGTACAGTACTTCAATTTTCTAGGAATCAGATATGCTATGCTTTTTTGTTTCAACTTAGAGAATCAGTTGATGATAAAATCATGTTAGTGGTCAGGAAGAGTTTCTTTGAATTTCAAATTAAGCAGCTGATCAATTCATGGCCGACTGTTAGGCATAATCTCAAGAAGAAATTTTTCTCGAAGGTCTTCTAGAAGCTAATCCATCAAAGATTGCAGTTTTTTTCCTTGCACAATGGGGAAATCCACTACGCTGACCTCGTTTCCTTCACGTGCTCCCGTGAGATTGTGGGAGAGAAACTGCAAGTTCAAAATTCAGCTCACGTTTTTCTTTGTACCCACGTACTTCGCCGCAAGTGTTGTAACCGAGACTCGTTTCTTCCGTACGTTTTGACATTGAGATGCAGTTCTTTTTTCTGGTCAGGAAGCCGTGTTCTTGGATGTGGGGCGTTCTCGTATGTTAAACGTGCTTATAAACGACGGGATGGGCTCGAGCATTCCTAAATCGGAAATCGTAAGCACAAAACACCGTATGAAAAACTAGAGGCGTGTCTTGACCTTCAAGAAAGAACTTGCTTGCCTGAGGAAAATTTAATCCATTCAGACTTAATTGGAACTTCAAATTAGAGTACAGCATGCGAAAAATAAAAACGCACAAAAGTATCTTCCCAAAAGCACCTCCAATCGAGCCTCTGAAGGAAATGTAGTCTACATAGAAAGAGTTTTTAATCGCATTTTAAAGAAGAAACTCCATCTTCCGGGATAGCGATCAGCAGTTGCCTGTGCGAAGGTAAATAATCATCGCGAATGATCGAAATAAAGCCGCTCACGTAAATTCGTTCTTGTCGATTGTAAATTTTGTTTATTAATCTTATGCCGAGTAGTCCAGGTTATACTGTATTTTAAACTGTTAAGGCTTTTATTTTCCGCTTTAGTGCGGTCAGATCGTTAGTTCGAAATCAGAAGTCAATCGCACGAATGCCAAGATTTAGCTGAAGATTTTGACAGCAAGAATATTTCACCTCTCTGAGATTGAATCTTGGAAAAAGCAGAGCGCAGTGCAAAGCATCAAGATTTCCAGATTATTCATCGGAAGTTAATGAAATCGTCCCTCGTGAAAATCATTGCTTTCGAAATGAAAAAAAAAACGCATCGTCCCCGGAACGGTGCCGGGCATATCGCAGTGAAAGTCTTCCTCCGAAATTTCATTTATGAAATCTCGGTTTGCGCTCTGACCGCGTTTTCTCGTTGCGGGAAGCTTTCACTTCGCTTTGGCTGACGCATAAAAACTGTAATTAAAGTCACGCGTCTTTCTCATCCAAGATTCTTTGATTTTTGATGATTCTTTTTCTGAAAGTAAGCTCGTGGTATGCAGCAGTGGTTGAAGCAAGGAAGATTCGAAGGTGCGACCCGTTCTGAATGTTCATCTCAATGCTGCTTTGGATTCAAAAGTATATGAAACACGTTATTGTTTTCGACTGATGATCACATTGAATTGCTGCGTTTAATATCATCAATTCGAATCCAGGTAGATTAATGCATTGCCATGCAGACTTAGGTTTGGAGCTTAGTTGATTTTCACGCATTAGACGTGCATATCTTAGCGAACAAGATGTTTGAAACCTAATGCTTTTGATTGAATATTTGTGACACATCGACTTTTTGAAGTTGAGAGCCGGAACGCGTAAGATTGCGTTAATGGATACTTCCTTGAGGGCTATATTCAGAACTTGTGGTTGATATGTTGAATTTTATTTTAGAGATATGTAATATGATTGGAAGCAGTTTTTGGAACGCTTTCTTTTTAAATTGACCTCACTATGAACTATCAGCTGCTGGAGTTTCTAATACGATTTGTATGACAAAGCGTTTTTTTAAAAGGGAAAGTGGGATTTGAGCTTTTTCTTTATAAGATCATGACATTTCCATCTGCTACTTTTTGGGTGGGAAACCCATTCGTGTTCCTCTCAGGACAACTTCTTCGTGGAGTAAACGTTTTGAATATTTCGAGCACGTACTGTTGGTAGTTCGTGTCCCTCGTTCCTGTTCCCACGGAAGCGAAGTCAAAAGTTAGCCCATGTGTGCTCTCGGGACACGATCGACCACAACCTTTAGTGCGAAGGAAATTTGCGCAACGGGTTGAAAGGTTACGTGCTCAAACAAGGTCAAGACCGGCTCTGAGAAGGAAGTCTTGTGTTCGCAGCAACCTTGCGGAAGACACGGTTCAAACGCTGGTCGCGAGAGAAACTTTTCATGAGGTAATTGTTGGAGTCGTAAGTTGACTCCGCGTCATGCGGCTACCTTGAGACCGCGGCTCTTGTCCCGGTCAGGATTTTTAATGCCGACCAAGTATTTCCATTACGTTCCTCTGAACCACTAAAAAAGCAATCACGGTGACCTTTCCCAGCAGACTGGCCCCATCTCTATTTCTCTCTCTCGTTTTTCACTTTGCCCCCGATGTAACTGAGGATCACTCCACAATTTTCGTCACGTAATCCCGAAAACAGTTCTTCCTTCGGCCAACTCAGTCCGTGCCATTGCGCAGTGGCTAATCTCATCATTCCGCATGGGCACGTGAGTCTCAGAGCTGGTTGAGTGTCAAGTCACGCTCGTCCATGGGAACAATTCGTGAATACAGAGCTCACCCACGGTACCTGGAGCAGAGTTGCTCGTACTGATGTCGGTGACTTGCTTTTGCTGAAGTAGATAACATCTCTTCATTCGTTGAATGGGGTTCTTTAAAATCACTGTCGTGATGGCGCATGATGAGCTAACTCCTTTCGTCCAGTGAAGTGTCGAAGAGGAATATATTATTGTTGCCTCATGGGAAGAACCGATTTTGTTCCAATAATAACGAGTGGTTCGTTGCACGAAGCGTTCGCTGACGGGAAAATTTTTCCCGTAACTATGCGTGAACCAATTATTTATCTATGTTCTCATAATTGAAACCTTCATGAGCTGCTGATATTGAAAAGGAAGGCATGGAGCGAATTTTCTTTCAAGCCCAGTACTGAATCCAGCTATAGCTACATTCCCTCAATTATCCCTTCTTAAAAATGCCAAGTTAACAGCACAACACAGTAGCGCGGAAAAAGAACATATACAGTACATTATAAATTTACGGTATCTGCTGCTCCTAAGGTAAGGTGCTACAGGAATAAACATGCAGGTAACATTTATACTGGTACTGTATAAGCTTTAAAAAAGGAAACCTGTATCCCGGAAACGAGGGTTCATTATTCGAAGCAGGATTTCTTGATGGAAAAGTTCGTTCCGTGAAGCGTCACTGCACAGAGAGAGTATATCAGAATTTCAATACTGTAATTGGGGTTGTCG